AAACTACCATTCAAACAGGCTTGCTAGACACTTCTGAGAGGTTAGCCATGAGCAGTGACTGTGCTCCAGTTGGCTTTCCTTGCAGGACTTCTCTTTCAAGTGCAGCAGGACTTCCCTTGCAACTGCAACTCTGGGTTGCACAGCCTGTTGTATCCCCATCCTGACCTGAGAGCAGGGCGCCTGTTTGTCTTGTGTTCTCAACGACAGCCCTGTTGGGCCCCGGCAGCATGAAGGAGAAAGCATCTTGGCTGAATGCAGAGGGTACAAGAGCCAGTACTGAAAGTGCAATATAACAGATGGGGAGAAAAAGCTTGGGGTCCAATGGTAGTCAAAGGGACCGGTCAGGAAAGGGGATGGGGAGGGAGACACAGATCTGATGATGAGCAGGGAGAAAGCTGGGTCTGGCTGGATAGGGCTGCACAAGTGGGGAATAGTCAGAATAGTTCGTGGGCTTTCAAACACATTCACCTGCAGAGCCTCAAATGGACCCAAAACTGCACACCCTCAGCCTCTTTCTCTGCTATAGCAAATGTCTGTGAAACCTGTTGGATAAGGGCTCTGCTCCCTCCTCGTGCCAGCACACAAAAGGGCTGACATCTTCTGACTGCTCTCAGTTCATCCATTCACTCAAGTGTCTGAGCAGTGGCTCTAAAGGGTCCATCTCATCAGCGCATCTCAATACAATGCCCTGTGAGAGAATTTTGTTTTTTGCCACTTACTTTTAAATAATTAAAAAAAAATCAAAACTGGAAATGGCACATAAAACAATCCTACATCCAAAAACTGCTATAATCCACATGAAGTCAGAAGCTCAAGCACTAGGAAACGGTGGAATCAAAGCTGCCGGTGCAACCTTAAATGGGCCACTCATGCACACGCATTAGGATAGAGCCCTTTAATTACACACTCGCGTACTATGGAGAAAGCAATGAGTGAGCATGTCATTAAAGACTGTTTCATAATGCGCGCACACACAAGGAGGCTGAACTGAGATTGTGCAGGCAGCCTTAATTATGGCATTTCCTAACCTAGGAGTGCTTATCTTTGCGTCCGACGCTCCTCAAGGGTGTTCCATGAATGCAGAACATGTTACATCCTTCCAGAGCTAACAGTGTATCACGCATCGGTTGGGAAATGCTTGGTGGGCCACAGTAGTGAGTTGGTGCAGCCAATTTGGGTACTGGGGATTTCCATCCCCTGTAAACCAGCTGCCAGGTCATTTCTCTAAGATTAGCACAGAGGCAATGCTGCCCAGGGAACGCTCTAGGGAGACAGGGCTAGAGCTGGTGGCCTCTCTCTTTGCCAGATGCCTCTCCACTGACTGTACAGGCAAATGCAAAACCAGTCCAAGGTCTTACATTTAAGTGCAGGTGATCACTCCACTGCCCAATGACTTTGTACTCGGGGGTGGAATTTCGGATCTGGTACTGGTAGATGTCATAACGGCCAGGGGCATCTCCATTCTCGTTGAACGTCACCGGGGTCCCAGCAATGCCTGCAAGACAGGAAGGGATTAGCATCCAAAGGCAATGCACCTTGCTGCACCCTGCATTGAATCCATCTGGCACAATCTAGTCCAGATCCAATAAAGTCAGTGGGCTCTTTGCTACTAACTCCAAGAGGCCCTTAAATTGATGCCATCTTCCACGGTCTTTACAGCATTTTGTCTCTCAATAACTATGATAAAAAATAGCCCATCCTAGCAAGCCTGCCAGGGCAATGACTGACCTCTCAGAAAAAAAAAAAAAAATCACCTTGCTCATGTGGATGAAGATAACAAAAGACTCATTTGGCCTGAACCTCAGATAGGGTAGATCAGCTCAACTGTGGCTCTAGCCCCTTCAATTCTCCAAACAAATTTCATTTCTTTCAAACAGAAATCCCCATTACCTGTGCCTGGACATTGCAGCAATGGGTATTTCTGGAATCCCTGGGGCCGGCCGCTATGACTCTACTGAGCAACAATAGCCATTGAGACAGACCTGAGCCTGAGATTTCCTTGCCTCAAATCTAGTAAGGTCTTCGAAAGCCCTAATTCAGCCTGTATTTAAACACCCCCATTTGGCAAAGCACTAACCACTAACTAGCTGGTGCTTAGCTTTCAGAGAGGACTTAAGTCATACTGCCAATGCTCAAGTTAGGTGATGCTGATCCAGAGCCTTACCCCTGCGTGAAGAGAAACTGCAGATTCTCCACCCGCTCTAGTGGCAGTGTTTCACACTCACTTTGCACAGATGTAAACAGCTATAAAAGATGTGAGGCCAGGAGTCAAGCTGAGACATCATTAGTGAGCGAAAGAGATGGCAGAGATAAAGGAGCGAGAAATGATGGAGATGGAGAAAGAAGGCGTAGCTAGAGAAGACACCAGCAAAACTAACATGCTCCCATGTCGAAATCAGCCCTTAGACTTGTCATTTATCCGAGCTGCTCAGTTTCCCACGTGAAGCTGATTTCACAGCTGCTCGGCAGGTGTCCCTCCTGTCCCCTAGCGGCCCGTACGTCCTTGCAACATCAGCCAAAATCTTGGTGTCTCTTTCCTAAAGCGCTGAACAATAAATCCATGCAGAGCAGCACTACATCATGACGCACCATCGTTCACTCAGTGGGAACAGTAATCTCCTCTCAGCATTCAGTTATGCAGCTCACAGAGGGAAACTGCGACGCGGCACCTCACATTTATATGCAGCCCGGACAAACGTGGACTTCATAAAATTGCCGGCTGCAGGCAGTGGCTCTTGGCAGGCTTAGCCCAGGGAAGTGCCACGGGGGATTTCTCAGCACAGATTCACACCTCAAACCTGGCGCACAGCGTGCCTTGCTGCTGCAGTCACAGGCTGCCCCACAAGGCCTGGGGATCTACCTCAACCTTGGCCTGCAGCACCTCCCCCTGTGCCACGCCTGGACCTCTCACAGCTCTGCAACAACCCTCATTAAGGACCAACCTGGTGCAGACAAAGTGCTGAGGTGTCCACCCCTGCCCCAGACCTAGACCCACCCTGTGCTCTCCCCAGGCTGCAAAGGGCTTTCATACTGGACAGGTCTGCAGCAGCCTCTGCTGAGCACACGCCACTCACAAGGCAGTGAGCTTGGTCTACGGGCTGACAAAGACAAGGGAATTAGACAATATTACCAAACTCCTTCCACCTGCATGACCTGCGGCACCCTGTGAACCCAGGCTAGTTTGCCTTGGGGGAAGGAATTAACTCACTGCACCACTGAGCCCCTTCAGATATAAAAGGAGCAGGGTTCGATTCAGACCCAGACAAAGCAAAGGCTCCTGAAGTGTGGACGGGCAGAGGCATAGCTGGCTTTGCCCTGATAGTCCATTTCCAGAGATCTTCTCCTTGCTGCATGCAAAACAACCTAAGCCCCCCCCCCCCCAACCTGTACCTGAGCTTTCCCTCTAGGGAAAGAGCATTTTCTACCTTCGCCTCATGCCACAGACACCCCTGCTTGCATGACAAGCTATGGCTGGCAGCTGAAATGCAGCCAACTTCAATTGCAACTCAGGTGCTACAGCAGACAAGGTTCTTTGGGTGAATCTGATATTTGGGCGAATGCTACAGCTGCATTCATGAAATAGCGGGAAGAGGCTATCCTAATTTAGGCTGAAGTTGAAACCCAAGGCCAGAGAGGAGGCAAAAAGGTAGTGCAAATCATAAGTCACTGGGAACAGATAAACAAGTCTATAATACCCCGCTGAAACTGCAGAGGGACTCTTAAGAAAGAACATGTGTAATTATCCACATTGCAATTTGACCAGGACACGCTAATTCATGAGAAGTACTAGGGGCTCTTTAGCCAGCCCTATAAATTTAGCCTAATGCCTTCACCCAAAGCACTTTGCCACGTTCTTAAAATTACTCGACAGTTAAATCAAGTGAATTGTACAAATAAATACTAATAAAAGGAGAGAGGCGAGAATTGAGCAAGAGGGGAAGAGGGAAAAATAAATAAGGAAGACATATTGCAGAGAAGATCACAGAGAAGAGATAAATAGAAGCAATAAGCAGGACAGGACAGAAAATGTTTATTAAAGAGATATAGTATAGGGAAAAGATGAGTTTCTAGGAGAGATCTGAAGGAAGACAAAGATGTAGCAGAATGAATCAGACAAGAAGCTTATTTCAACAAAGGAGAAAGAAAAGAGTGAGAAAGAATGGAAACAGAACTGGGAAAGGAATGAACCAACGGCAGGTGATCATGCTACAAAATAGGGCTATAAAACAAGAAATTTAGGGCATGTCAGCACGTTCATTAATGTGTTTTTGCTAATGCGCATTAAATTTAGTACCTCTGGGCACTTTTACACATGCTCTGGGGCTGGGAAGGAGGATGGTGCTTTAATTAGAGCAAATCCCAGGGTGCAGAACTCCCCACAGGGCTCGAATCCCCAAATGAGCCCTGGATCTGCAAAACAACTCAGCTGCCATTTAGGTCCTTAGGCTTCACCTGCACTAGAAAGTTGCTGCATGCTCTGACATGGTTAATGCGGAATAGCCTCCTTAGTGCTCATACAGTTATAAAAGCACATGAGTTTTCTGCCAGAAAAGCACAAGAAGAGGAATAATTGTACCAACACATGGCGTCTTACAGAGGAACACCTGCATGCACAACACGGCTTGTGCCACACTAATAATCTTAGTGGAAAAAAAATAAATTGCACACCTACCCACAATAGCAGTATAGCTAACGGTTCTCAGGATACATCTGCCCTTGAGCAAGTGGTCAGAGTGGGCATTTTGAACACTGCCCGTGGGAGCACGCGTCTTGCGGTCTTTCAGCGTGCTCTGAAACCACCTGGTCTTTATGAAAACCCCGTCCTTCATTTTCAGATGGGCTTAGGGAAAAATCTGGCCTTTCAACAGCCTGGGCCTCCATTTCATCGGCAACATGGGGGCAGCAATAACATCAGCCTGTCTCAGACTGTGCCCTCTTTGAGCAGGGATAGTCTGTATTTGTGTGTGTAGCACCCAGCCTACTGGTGCTACCATCTATGTTGGGGCTCTTTGCATTAGTGCAATACAGAAATCAAGCAGCAAGTCCAGGCTGAGAGCAGGAGTGGGGAGCCAGAGAAGGGCCCAATTCTGTTCTTGTGCACGCCTCACCCTGGCAGAGAACCTCTGAATCATCCCGATGCAGCGAGTACTGAGAGTGCAATGTGTCCTCCTCCTCTCTCACACTCCTGCTCCTTGTTGCATCAAAGGACAGACCCTCCCCATACACACACAGGCATACAGACCTGAGAAGTTGACGCTGCGGATGTACTTGAGGAGCTCCACGCCGTCCACCGGGTCCATCTTGGGGCAGAGGCCGACCTTACCGGGACACAGGTTCTTGTGCATGTTGTGCAGGGCGTGCCCCATGGCATAGACGGCGTCAATGACAAACTGCACCTTCCCCTCCTGCTCGTACGAGGAGTCCTGGCCGATCCGCTCACGATCTGTGGGCACACATGGTGTAAGGCTGTGAGGAACCCACTCACTGGGCTTTCCATGAGGGCCAGTCCCATCACAACCAGCCCCTGGGCTTGGAGTACTGGAAGTGCCCCGTGTCCAGCACCCTGACCCCATGCCCCACCAGCCACGTGGGAGGGGAGTACACGGGAGCTCTCCATAAGCCATGTCCCTACCCCATTGTATTTACAGCTAAGAGGCTGCACTGAAGCATAAAGGCATCCCCCAAGCCAGCAGTCCTACCACGTTCTCCAGAGTGACTCAGGCTGAGATTTTGGGTTGTAGCCATGTTAGTCTAAGGACATAGGCAGGCAGGCTTCTTTGGGTAGATGTGAGATCTTTCATTAGACCAACAGAGTAGTTGGAAAACTCAGGCTGAGATGACAGCTGATTCTGCAGACTAGCTGAAATTGCACTGGTTGGTGATCCAACAGCATGGATGTATATATGGCAGTTGAACAGCTGACAGCTTCCTTCTGTGGTGCACTGTAACAGCTTTGGCAGCTCACTCCAGGCAGAAGGCAGGGTAGCATTGCACCTTACAGACTAAATCAGAGAGGCATAAGCTTTTGTATGCAACTCTGTCTACTGCTGACTTCAGACTAACAGAATAACTACCGCTTTGAGCTCACTGCAGCCCAGGCTCCTACACCCCTCTAGCAAAGCCTGTGTGGCAGACCGTGGTGTAGCACAGGAATACCTGAAGTCGCTCGCATTCGGGGAACAGCTATCCACCCCTAGCACAGAGCTCATCAACCCTGCTTCTCTTCTAATTCACCTTTGCAGCAAGTTAAATGACTTCACTTGAAGCTCTAAGCTACCACAGCTGGCTGCTTCCAGGACCTGAGCTAGTTCATTTGAAGCTAGTGTGGTACTGCTACACTATGCTGCAGCCTGCAAAAATACCCCGATAACTACTGAAAAGTTGGCACAGAATGCACTGAGGCCTTTTGCCCAGCACCAATCCCAGTACAACGCCTGCTGAAACGAGGCGGTAAGTGCAGTGGCTCTGATGTTAAGACATGCTCCCATCAGAGGGGCAGGAGTTGGTTGTTCTGAAATTAGACCTATAATTGAGGGTGTGGAAACTCAGGAAATCTGGTTTCAGCTCTGGTCACTCCTTCCACCAACCTGCTGCATAACCTTGGATAAATCCTTCAGGGTCTGATTTTCAAATCATCATTTGGAGATACCACTCAGGTCAGCTGCAAGTGCCCAAGATCCATAAGAATTTGGCCATAATCCTTCTCCATGCCTCAGTTCCCCTAATGCAAATAACCCCTTTGTCTGCTTTCTTTATTCAGAGGAAGCTCTTCAGAGCAGGACCAGTCTCATCCTATATGGGCATACAGTGCCTATCGCAACTGCTGCAAATTATAAA